CTGAGTTACAGTAATGGGAGCCCACAAACGTCTGCTGAGAGCCTTTGACCCACCTTGATTCCAACCCCACTTCTCTGGACCCTGCCCCTAGCTTGGCTTCTGTTCTTGGACTTCCTCATGATCCCATTGCTTTACTGCTCCGCATGTATCTTGTCATCCTGTCCCTCTGCGGCAGCTACTGAAGCTATTTAACATAAGGGTCTAGTGGCCCGGAGCTCTGTGCCAAGTGCTCTCACGTTGTCACTGTGCCTGTCCATACACTGCCTTGCTCAGGAGACTCTTGGTTTCTAAACCTCTGCCTGACTTCTGATCCTGGCTGTTTCTCTCGCCCTCACAAGGAAGCCCATCGCTGCATTTCATATCCAACGGAACTAATGCCCTTCCTGCCTCTGGCGCCCAGCCCTGGTCCTGCCCATGTTTAGCACAGAGGTGAAATCTGCCTAGTTCTGCAGCTTGGGAATGTAACATGTGAGTGTAAAAGGAACTAATTACATACATTTCTACTTAATGTGTCTCTCTCCAAGTGAGATGATTTTTCCTTCAAGTCAAGTGCTTTCATCCGCGTATTCACAGAACAATGCCAAAAGCCTCAGGAAATGATTAAAAAGCCATTTATCTTCACGTTCTGCATCATATATATTTTAAAAGAAAAGCCATATACTAAAATGAGTACTTACTAAGAACACCCAATTCCCTGAAAATAACGAGAAGAAATTATTGTCCTTCAACTACCCCCTCAAGGCTGTTTAGCAATCCTCGTTCTGAGCTCTCTCAGCAACGCTAGCCAGCAGCCCCTCCTGACTTCTCCAGCCCATACAGGCTCCCTGGAAAATGCTTCTTTAGAGATGATCTCCTCTTCTTGGAGATGGAGGCCACTTGAGGTCATCTCCTTCTACACATCTGGGTATTGACACCATCCTTTCTTCCTTACAAAAAACCGGGGAAAACTAGAAAGAACACCTTTGCTCCTGTTCTGATCCCTCCACCCTTGTCTCCAATAGAAATGAAGGCTTCACGCCACTCCCACCGCCACCCTCCCCCAGCTCAGGGTTTTCTCCGTGCTGTCATAAAGAGCAGGTTCACAAAGGCCCATCAGGACTTAAAGAGATTTTACAGATTCCTGAAGGCATCCATAACAACACCTGCCAGGGCCACCCCGTCACCTCTTCCTCAAGGTCATCCTTTCCGTCTTGTCCTCTCACCCTTGGCCAGCCAACTGTGAGTCTGGGGGTGGGAAGCAGAATGGCTTTTCACCGTACGAACTGCTGTACCATCCACTCTGTCTGCTCTAACATCTCTCCCCCTGCCTTAAAAAGTAAAGAGCCTTTTCCTTCTCTTGAACACATCTGGGCTTGACCCTTCTGGGCCTCATCCAAGAGCTGGGCCAGTGCAAACTGTCAGCGTAGGATCAGGAAAGCCCCGTTTGGCCTGAGGATGGAGGAGCCAGGGAAGGCGGTGGAGGTGGAGGACCAGGGTAGGGAGGTTAAGGGTGCCACCAGGAGTTGCTTACAGCAGAGCCAGCTGGGGAGACTAAAGACTGAGGCAAACAGAGGTGAGAGGCCAGATCCAGGGAGCGGTCTGGTCTCAATACCAACAGGAACCACAGCCAGGTGCTCCTGATTATCTCGCCCTCCCTACGAGGCCCCCGGCCTGATGTGCTGGGATTAGTTCCATGCTTTTGGCTGGAGGCGGAGGAGCTGCCTCATTTACTAAGGCCTTTCTGTTGTCAGCGCCTTGTCATCGGTCTTCTATTCGACCGAATCTTCAAATTTCCTGATTCCTGGGTATGGCCTTCCACCGCTGATGACCATCTTATTCCGCCTCCTGATACTTGTGTCTTTTTTGTCTTTGATTATCAAAGCCAAAACTAAGATCACATTGGGGTGGATCAGTATTTCCTGGACTCTGGGCTCTAGAAAGTTCTAGGAGTTCTCGAAAGGACTAAGATCCAGAAGGTACCACGCAAGGATCCTCAAATATGAAGAAGGAACAGATAATTAGGGGTGCTAGGTAAGAGGTGGGGATGAGACCAGTCAGGTATCTCTTTTAATTACCCAACTACTACTAAGAAGCTATGGGCTTCTCTCCAAAAAAACTTGGATTGGCCGGACAGATGAAGGACTCGCAGTAAGGAGCTAATAGTTCTATTTTCAGGCTCTGAGAGAATTTACCCAGAAAACTCTTTTTTTTTAAGTCTGAAAATTCTTTGGCAGCATCCTCTTAACCTCCTCCTTAGCCCTACCATGTAATTTGCATCCCACTTTGTCAGCATTTTCCCCTGTCCCCCCACCACAGCCTCACCCCGCCACATTTCTGAGACATGGGATAGATTGCAGGCAGATGAGGACCAAGCTCATCCCTTTCCATGCCCCTCTATAAGTCACTTTTGTGTCTTGTAAAGGATGCTACCGTGAATATGACAAATGGAGACAACTACATGTGTTTTTAAGAGAAGGCCTACTGAGACACTTTTTACTTATCAGACCAGGGACTACCCAGGCTGGATTCTGGAACTTTCCACAGCCAGACATAGGACCAACCTATTGCCCCAGAGAAGAAGATCCCCAGGCCAGTCTCTGGAGCCAATGAGAATTATTAATAGCTTCACGGTCAGGGCATGCTTATATGTATCTCATTTAAATCCTTTAAGCTGCAGTTCAAACCTGGTTCTCCTCTCTTATGAAAGAATTGTATCTGTTTAAAGCAATCTTAAAAAAATTGTTTTATCCTCACCTGAGGACATTTTTTCATTGCTTTTAGAGAGAGAAGAGGAAGGGAGAGAGAGAAACATTGATGCAAGCGGGAAGCATCGATAGGTTGCCTCCTGTACACGCCCAGACCAGGCATCATATATCATTATGTGCCTGGACCAGGGATCAAACCCACAACCTAGGTCTGTGCCCTGACAACGGACAGAACCCGAAACCTTTTGGTTTACAGGACAACGCTCCAACCATCTGAGCCACAACGGCCAGGGCTAAAGTAATCTTTTTATCTGAATTATCTGAAATTGCATGTTTCTGTTGGCTTTGAACAAGGAAGCAACCCTGTAATGTTGTTACCTATGGTTGAATGCATTGTACGTTCCTGGCATGTGCGCTGTTGTACAGCGCAAATGAAAATTCTTGCACTGTTTTTCCACTGTGCTCTGTGTACTTCCCTGTTTAGGGAGGTGCGTTCTAGCTAATATTCGACAGGAGGAAAGGAATACCAAGAGCTGCCTAACGTTTAACCTAAAGAAAGATATCGAGTCCCATTGCTCCATCACTAGAGTAGAATACTTAAAGTATTAGTTTGAAAAATTCATCTTTTATGGTTGAGAGAGTGCATGAGGAAAGGAGAAAGTGGCGGTAGCAGAGTCTGAATGTTCGGGGATTTGAAGATGTTGGTTTCAAAATGGAATTTATCTTCAGACCCCAAGATTACAGATTTCCTTCCAAACTGCATTCCCTGCATGGTTTAGGGTACAGTTGAAAAGAAATTGCTTTCCCTATTTTGATTGACGTGAAAAACACTGTGAAAATAGTTTGGAACTTGATCTCTTCAAGGGAAAGACGATAATCAAACTATAACTCTTGCCTGCAGCCTTTCTCTCACACTTACTCAGGACTGTTCCAGGAAAAGAAATTCACAGGGAATTCTGTTATCATGTATCACTTCTGGAAGGAGAAAGAGACATTCTCAAGAAAATTATCCCCCAATTTCTAACACAAAACGAAAAGATGACTTAATGGATCTCTCAACATAAAATCACCTTGCTCCATGCATTAAAATCAAATGGAGCCAGCTATTGGGGGCTGGAAACCTTGACTATCCAGATTTATTTTGAAATTGATCAGATTTGCCCTTCTTGCCACACATCTCCTTAGCCTTTAGGCCAGTTCTAGTCCTACACGTCTGGTTTTGCCAAACATAGTAGAAAGACTTGACTATTTCAGTTTACAAGTCTTATCTGCACAGACCTGTTCACACAAGGGAATCTACGAATACCAAGTACTTGAAGTTCTCATTCACGTTTTTGGACCGCAGATTGCCAGACCACTGAAATTCCCCCACCCTTTACAATCGGCTCTTTCTAAAAGGAATTCCAGGCTACCACTGACCAGCTGCCTGATACTACTGTTGAAGTTGCCCAAATATGTCGGACTATCTTGAAACGAAAGACTGTTTCCTCCCTCTCTGGGGACACGCTGTAACTCATAATGTTTCAAATAATCAAGTCATGCTCTCAGGCACATTTTCAAACAGAAAATAAGATTTCTCAAGAAATGGTTCGGGCTGTTGAAAGTGATTCCTAAAAACACACCCACCAGTGCATGCATTCTCTCATTATTAGGTTTTATAGGAAACAGGCTGTGGTAGGCATCTTCTTCCCAAGCAAATATCAGATCGGTTACATTCACCCAGCCAGTGCTCAGTGTCAGGGCTCTGCCTACTTCTGACCTGATTTCCCGGCAGCTCTAGAAGTCTAGCCTCAAATACTAGCAGCAGAATAAAATGTAAACGCCTTTAGTTAAAAAAAAAAAAAAAAAAGCATCACTGTTTAGCTTCCCATCACCCTAAAAAGTCGTCGTTGTTGTTAAAAGCAAAGCCTTTTTAAATCTCTGATAATAAAAGATGCAGGAGCAACTGCCGGCGTGAGCCCAGGGGCAGGCAGGCTCCGGGCCACTGGCCTGGGGCGGCCAGGTAAACGCCTCACCGCACTCCTAAACAAAAGGCTCCTCTCAGCAAAGTTGCCGGCGGCCCCCGCCTCTGCGTCTCCAGACGGTCTCTCCTCCTGTCCCAACTCGGAGAACAGAACTTGAAACCTCATCCTGTTTGTCTTCCGGGAACATCTGCAGGGCAGGGAAGCTCAGGCTGGCTCTGAGAATTTGCATGGTTTATTGGTTTTTACAGCCCTGCATCTCCGGCCACTTTGACCAGGAATGTTGCCTGCACCTCGGAAGGAGAAAGTCCCCAGACTCTCGGAAGAGATGAAAAGAAAGTCCTCTGTGCCTTACCTCATAGGCTGAAACTTCCTCCTGGGGACCGAGTCTGAAAGGAAGGACCGATTTCTTTAAACAGGAGCACAGCAAGAGGGCAGGCAGGCAGCCGGGCACACACTGCTCTATTCAATAAAACTGCAGACCGCCCTTCCTTAGCCCCTCCCAGAAGTCCGTGCTAAGTGAACACACATCCCCTATGTTTACAGTCGGCAGTCGGCGGTATGCATTGTCCTGTAGGTTTTTCTAATAGGCAGCCAGTGACGACACCTCGGCCGAGGTGGATGCAGCCTGCCCGAGGAGATGCCTGTCATTCCCTAGGCCAGCTCAGGAAATCACTCGTCAGAAAAACCAAGACCTAAAAAGCTCAGAAACTGCGTGCTGGCTGCCAAAACCAGCCTGCTCCATGCCCTTTTTTGGTTATCCTTAGCGGGGCCTCTGGAAGCCAGTCCATCGTCAGGAACAATCATAAGAAATGTTAATCTTGGAGAAAGAGGCTGTCCTGTAGAACACAAATGGAGCTTTAAAAGAGAAAGCCATCAAGGAAACTAAAAGTTAACAGTCTGTAAATTGAGTGGGGGTGGGAAAGGCTTTTTAATTGAGGGAGCCTTAATAGTGTATTTCTTTTCAAAGTAGTTGTAAAGATGAAGCGTAATAAAATCATTGTGTAATTTTCAAGCCTGAAAGGTCAGGGACCCAGGTCTGGTATCCAGACTAAATTCTAACCTGAGGGAGGCACACACAATCCCCTAAAATGTGTCTACACGTGTTGTAAAGACAACTGGCCAAAAAAGGTTGGGGTGGTTTCTTGAGCAGATAATGTTTGCCAGAGTGAGAGTGCCCTACCAGAAACACAGCTAGGGAGAGCCCTGCTGGGCTTGACTAGCCTTCCTGGTCGTCCACTGCGCCTCCTTCTGACCTTCCCTCTGTTCCCTCACTTGTCAATGGGGAGATAGTGTGAAAAAGTGTGCCCAGCAGAGAGGGCGTGGAGACACCCAGCACCTATTTTGGGGATGGTGTGGATGAATGCATATGCCCACAGAGAGGACGCTGGTGTTCTAGTGACTTCTTGAAAGTTCTCCGACCCACGCTTGATTGGTAGGAAGTGTGCTAGGAGAAGGTCAGAACTCCGAGGGGCTGCATCAGAATGAGGTTAACTGGCACAAGTATGCATTCGATCTGTGGTCCTGTGCTTTTAAACATAGGATTCCCTCAACCAGTACTTGATTCAACAACAACGAAAAATTAGGAGCACTTACTACTATTTGTCAGGCCTGGGGCGAGGTGCTTGATTTATGCCTTCTTGTTGCTCTCTGTTTGGAGACCGTTTCATCACTGACCAAGAAGAATTAAAATATTTTCTTTGGCTAATTACAAGTCCAGAAGCTCGATCTTTAAAAATCTGAGGTTGTACTGTATACGCCTTTCCCTGTTTATGAAGCTCCGACTTAGAAATGATCTCTCTCGACTTAGGAAAAAGCCCCTGTGCCTCATTCAGAAGGATGAGAAGTGACTGGTCCAAATGGAACATGCACTTCTTCAGCTCTGCAGCGTGAACAAGTTACCCTGAGGCATCCGCATCACCTTACACTCAGTTTTCTCTCCCCAACTGCTGCTGTACCATAGCTCGGAAGAACTACAGTGAAAGCTGCCAGGCAGGGGGAGAGGTGAGCTGCACGCCTCCCAAGTTAGGCCTCAGGATGTACTCGCCCAGGGAAACAGAATGGACAGCCAATGCCACATATCAAGGACACTGTAGCTCAACCAGGCATTTGTGGAGCATCATCACTGTATAACATTGTTCCTACGGGAAAATGTCTTCTACGCCCAAATATTTGAAAATTAACTTCGAGAACACAGCTTTGCCACTGGGGACGTCCCTTATCTAGACAGGCTGTGAAGGTAGAATATATACTTCGTAGTCTGGTAAGTGGCTGAGCTTGAAGATGTTGCAGGACAGACATCAATGAAAACCGAAAGCAACTCAGTCAGTGGCATCTGGGTGAAGACGTGACCTGTGCCCAGAGATGTTTGGGACCCCGTATCCCCGGGCAGTGTGGTCCATAACTCAGTGAGGCCTGGTTTCACGTGCTGTTTTACTGGGCCACTGCTGATTATATGCTAAGCAGCACTCTCTCTGCTCGTGTGAGTAATGCACTCCAGTTGTACAACATCAGGGCGTAATTTGCAATCTATGAATAAAATAAGTACCAGCTTCCCAGAGGAAAGGAAAGCTGCACAACAAATGGGGAGAATATTATCAGCAGGAAACATGGAAAGGACATGCATTTTGTATGGTTTTTAGGAGATAAATGGCGAAGTATTTGGGGGTTTATGTTTTTAGAAAAGAGAAGTATGCTTCCCTAGATAAATTCTAAATACCTCACATTCAGGCTTATGGTGGATGAGCAACCGTTCAGCCTATTTTGTATATTTGAAAATAGTCTTTTTGTGGAGAAACTAGATAGTTGGAAGAATAATGTAACAAATTTTATGTGCTATACATCATAATATACAAAGATGATTTTTTCATTTTTGTTTTTACTTTTTTTTTAAATTAAGCGAGAATGAAAAAGAAAGAAGAGGGAATAGAAAGAAAGAAAAAGATAAATATTGCCAATTTCTGCCATGGGAAACTTGACTTATACAGCCTCTGCTTTTTCCAGAGGTCATTTGTAAACAGCACTAAAAATATACAGGATTTATATAGGAAGTTTCTGTGGAATATAGTCCCCACTCTGATCATCCCAGATAAGGAACAGCTTGTCTGGCATGGGCTGTATCTATCTAACCAACTGTAACAAATCCAACGAGACATTTGGAAACATCTGGATGACTCCCATTCTCTCAGTTCCAGCTGACTATTTGTAATCATGTAGATCAGTGGTGACCAATTCTATTTCGCTCGTGTTTCAATTCGGGAAAAGGAAAAGCAGGCCATACTTTTTTATTTAAAATGGAAATTGCTTCATGTAATTCCATGAAAAACATGCATTCTTCTAGCTTAAAATATGTACTTTGTTGAACAGAACAGATATTTTGAACATTTTAAAAGGCAGTAGAACTCAACCACCCCCATGCCCTGCTCCCCCCACACACCCTCTTCTATTCGAATAAAGTATTTCCAGAAACTCGGGTTTCTGAAACAATAAAATCAGGCTGATAGACTGTTGATACCAAAATTGGACAACAAAGACAGTACTGGGGGCAGGGCGGGGTGGGGGAGAGAATTGAACTAAGTGTACTTATGAACCTAGATGAAAAAATTATCATATTGACTCCAGCAGCATAAAAAAAACAGAAAATGCAGAGATGGTCACACCTGGAAATGTACTGATACATTATACAATATCAGCAGTTTAAAGTAAGAAAGAAGCAGAGAAAAGGAAAGAGGAAGGTCATCTTCATAGATAAAAAATACTGCTTGGTAAAATTAGCAATCACTTATAGAAAAAAGATCTCTTAAAGAGCTAGTAACAGAATTTTTATAAATATAATGAGAGACATTTACCAGAAACCTACAGCAAAAATCACGCTTAATGATGAAATATTAAAAACAATCCCATTATAATCCATGAAAAGACAAGGATGGCTGTCTCTTCTATAATTGAGAAAAGGGCTGGGGGTTCCAGCCACGACAAAGAAAAAGAAATAAGAGCCACTGGAATTAGAAAAAAAATTGCCTTTATTTGCTATGGTGTGATTATGCATGTAGAAAATTCAAGAGAGTCCACAAATATATTAGAACTAATAAAAGAGTTTAGAAGGATTATTGGAATCAAGTTCAGTATGCAAAAATCCACAGTTTCTGTAACTGGCCATCTCTAATCTTAAAATATAATGGGAAAACACACTATTTATATTAATAACAGAAGTGTGCATTACCTTGGAATAAATGTAGCAATATACGTGCAAGAAAATTACAAAACTGGATTTAGGGTCACAAAACCCTGCATAAAGTGTAAAATTTATCACTTTCTTGAATGGCAGATGTCAAAATTATAAAGATGCAAATTCTCCTCCAATTAACCTATATATTTATTATTCCAACTCAAATCCCTATATAATATATTTTGTAGAACTTGACAAAAATTTTAAATTTATATGGAAAAATAAAGATCTGAAAATAAGTCCTGAGCTATAGAGCAGTTCTAATTAAGTGTTATTGGCCCAGGAATAGACAAATATAGCAATAGAACAAATTAGGAAGACTGGAAACTCCCAAGCATATATAGAAACTCCTAGACTAAGAAACAGTAGACTAATCTATTAATGGTAAGATTATAATTGATTACATGGGAACAGTAAAATTAATTTCAAAATTCCTACCTCTCATTAAAAGAAACTAGGTTACATGAAAAACAAAATTTGAAAATCATTAGGAAAAATTGTAGGCGAATATTTTTATGACAGATATGATATGGAAGGATTCTAATCCTTCCATAAGATTTCTAATTATGAAAAACAGGACTTACAAATAAAGAGACTGAAAAAAATTCAAGGATATGGTTAAATTTGGCAGATCAAATGCATGATGCTCATTTATTTCTGCTGTTTGCCCGAACCTCACAAAAATGATAGAAAAAAAAAAGAAATCATAAATAAATCCCACAAGGCAGAGAGTGCTGGAGAGAAGTCAGCACAGAGTTCAGATGTCAGCCAATTTTTGGAATATGGAAAACGAACGGATGGGCAGTAATTGCCTTAGCAGAGCTGAGAGACTGAACTCCGGCCCCGTGGAGTACGAGGCCAGGGACGAGAAAGAAGCCGAATCAAGACTCAGAACCAGAAAAAACTCAGGATGTAGAAGCCCTGGGAAGCTCTGGAGATAAGAGATGAAGCAGAAAACAGGTTTGAATGAAAATATAAGAAAGGAAGAGTGAAAAGCCCAGATATCTTTCCCACCCCATGCAAACCAACCAACCAACCCAAAACCCTGCACGCACAGCCAGAGGGCTGGCTGAGTGAACGGCCCTCTCCCAACCAGATCACACAGACAGAAACTGAAGTACATTCTCTGAAGAGAAGTGCTGGCCTCAGAATGTCGGGCAAAGCAGTGGAGAGGTAAGAGGCTGTGTACAGAAAACAAACCTTTAAATGAAAGTGAATTCAATTAAACACTCCCAGTCTTCTCACTCGGTGGGACTCCCGGGACAGTCAGGTTTATACTCCCCAGAGAGGAAATGGAAATATTCCACTCCAGGGAGACCGTGGGAACAAATCTAAATTTGAGGGACCCCTGAAACTTAGGTCCGCTGCCTAAGGCCCTCTGTCTAGCACTTCGCTCTTAAATATGAACATCACGTTAGGAAAAGGCTCTGAAAGAGAGACCGGGACAATGGAAA